GACAAGAGGAGTCGGAAAACCCCAGGCAGAGGGTTGACTATACCAGAGGAAGGAAGGTGAAAGAAGACCTGGACGGTGTCGTAATCCACCTGTGAGAGGTGGAGTGATGGTCGGTGTACCGGCTGCAGGGCAGAGAGCGACCAGTGAACAAATCAGATCTGGCTTTACCAAAGCTCGTCATCAACTAAAGAACGTTTGACTTCCCCATGTGGAACAATTAAGGTGTTAACGTTGTATAAGTACATTCATGAAGAACACAGGTTGACTTTGGTCCAGATCACCCCCAGAGGGAGAGAACGTTTTACTGAATATCTTGAGATCTTCATCTGTTTCTCAGTCACCAAAGAAATAAAAGACACCATGTAGATACACTCCAACTAAAATCCATAATTAAGTCAAAGACCCTCCAAATTAATTGAAGAGATGATGAAAATTACATCCTCCAAGAAAATAATATCCAAGCTATATAAACTCATATCAAATACAGACTCAACAATAACAATACCAAAACTCAAATGGGAAAATGATTTAACTCTCCCCCTCAGCTCCGACTTCTGGACAGAAATGTGCAATAACATCTTTTCTGTGACCAGCAATGTAAACTTACAACTTATACAATACAAGACCATCTATAGGACCCATATTAGAGAAAGTAAAATGTTCAAAACAGGTTTCACTGACACAGACATCTGCTCACAATGCACTCTAGGTTGCACCGACAGTTACTTTCATGCTACTTGGACCTGCCAACCAGTTCAAATCAAACAAATCACTCCACATAAACCACTGGACCAACCTTCTGACAGAATACATCACATTAGAGAAAATGACATCAACTCACAAGAACAGTTTATCAGCTTTTTATGACACATGGAACCATTTTTATCACATTTCAACTTGAACCAAACACCTGGGGCTGAGGCCACGCACATTCCCACCAACCTCTAAAACGTAACAAGCTGATTTTATTAGTAGTATCTTATTATTAATATTATTATTGATATTTTATTTATTTATTTTATTTATCCCCCCCAGTTGTTGTAAAACACTACATCTTTTTGTAATGTCATGTATCTGTTGTTTGGTCCTGTTTTGTTAATGTCTTACTTTGTTTCAGTAAACAATAAAAACAGATCTTCCATCTGATCCTCTGAGTCGGTCCCTAAATTAATGGTTCTTCAGACGTGTTGGCACCACAGTCTCCACCTTGTCACCATAAACTCACCTGGTGCTGCTGAAACGATGAGGTCGACATCAAGGGTGGAAGGAAAGCGTGTGCAGGGAGCGCTCTTCACCACGTCAGTAACATCTTGACATTTCTAATGGTCTTGTGTGTCTGATTTTAATCTGTTGCTTCACTTCCTCAATGATTAACTTTGTAAAGCTCAGTGTCACAAAGCTCAAATGTGACTCCAGCAGCTTCACAGTCAGTCCAGTGTAGATCCTTAGAGCCTCGAGTCGGACCAGTCAGAGGAGATGAGGTGATGAGGAGACGTGACTTTGGTCTGTGGGAGGTTTAACAGACCATTTGACCATTTTCTGATATTTAACCAATAAATAATCAGTGCATTGAACAAATAACCAGCAGATGAACTGATCATTAGTTGCAGCTGTTCCTTTACATCCCACAGAATCAGCTTCACTATTTATGGAAATGATTAAGTTGATCTGTTTGAAACACTTGACACTTGGTCGATGTGTGAAATGTTTGCAGAATCAAGTCACATCATCAAACTGGTTTCCAGTGCAGGGAACTGGGTCCCACAGTTCTGCATCAGGTCAGACAGAACTTTTCAAACAAAACCTTGAGCAACTTGTGTTGTTAAGTTTTTAATGAGAATGAGCTTTGACTTCTGAGCCACTGCCCAGCTGGACTGAACAGAAATGTGCTTTGTTAGTAAGGTAGGAGGTCAGTGCTGCTCTAAACCTTTAGAAGCTAATATCTCTGCACTGCTGCCGGCGCTGGTCAGTGAGTCTGGGTCCCAGGAGGCTTCGACAGCTCCTCTCCACATTAGGACAAGTTCTGGAGCACATTTCTACAACAACAGTTTTTAGGACAAAGTTACAAACTGTAGCTTTAAGTAACTTCAAAGACGGATTAAACTGTTTCCTCCAGTGGTGGAAAGTAAGAACATTGACTCAGGCACTGTACTTACATGTACTTGTACATGAGCATTTCCATTTCCAAATATTGACAATAGAAACAAAAAGCAAATAGTGAAACGAAAAAAGAAGAAAAAAGAAACAACAAGCAGCGAGAAGTAAAACCCAACTAAACACAGCATCATAACAATGAGAAGCAGGAGGACAGGTGGAGTTTAACAGGTTAAAGTCAGTGACTTTTTCTCTTCACACATAAACAAGTTATAAATATAATCGTC